GGTGTTCGGGGAGGAGACCTTGATCTCCGTCCAGGAAAAGCTTGATGAGCTCAGCCGGTATGTATGTTGTTGTTATTGTCTTGTTGTCTTGACATTAATAACCGTTCCGATCTCTCTCTACCCAGTACATTCGAATGTCCGTATTGATCCAGCACTCGACGCGGTTGATTCACGTGGTCACAGGTTAACTTACCCTAAGAACGTACCCTCAAACAAACTGGCTCCGAGGGTTCCGCAAGTCAATCAAAATCAACGACAGATATTCTGGAGTCCTGCACTCCCGCTGCGCGCTATGCGAGGTAACAGCTGAGACTAGGAGCCATACCGGGATTCCGAGACAACATGGATCGGTTTCGTAGATCCGTGGTCGGCCCCGAATGCCTTCAGGTCGTCAAGCACACACTTCGGCCAGTTCTGCTCCTGTCCCCCCCTACGTCGCTTCTCCCCCCCCGTCAGCTCGCCGAGCATTAGTCATTTCGGGAGTCGCCCATCCGGCTGCCTTGCGAATGCTCCCGCAAACAGTAGGCGTTGTTGTCGGATTGTGGCTTCAACGCTCTGGCATTCGACCCTCTTCAGCGTCTGGGCGTAGGAGAGCTGCCGGTAGGTGCCTTTCTTGCGCTTGTACCCGATAACTCGGAGGAGCAGTCGGTGGTGTATCGACCGCAGCGTCTGATAGTGGCCGCTGAGTGGTGACCATGCCATGCAGCCGTACAGCAGTGTCTCCATCGTCTCCGCCTGGAGCAGGTGGATCGTGAGTCGGAATGGCGCTTTCGGTCTGTCGAAGAGCTCCCGGCCACACCACCTGAGGCACGCCCACGCTCCTCCTGTAGTTGATCTCCCGGGTGAGGTCGCCATGTTCGTTGACGATGCCAGAGAGGTATCGGAACTCGGTCGTCTGGGCGTATTCCTGTCCCGCGGCTTCGATGGTCAGCGGTGGAGGTGGGGGGGGCTGTGATGTTGTAGTCGGCTTGTCCTTCGCGCGCATCAGGAGCGTCTCCGTCTTCTTCTCCAACACCGTTAGCCCGAACTCCCCGAACATCTCAATGACGATGGTCATCATCCTCGCCAGTCGTTCTGCAGATCTTGATACGACGCCGGCATCATCGGCATACAGCATCCCCCATATTGCCCTCCGTACTCGGTCAAGGGGTGTCTCCTCCCCCCCCGAGCTTCCGTCTTCCCTTCCTCCAAGCACACCAGGCTCCGCAGAACGACATCATCCTCGCTGAATCGGATGACAACGACCTCGAGGACCTCGGCGAAGAAGATGTTGAACAGCCGTGGGGATAGCACACATCCTTGTCGTACGCCCTGTGTCACGAAGAACCAGTCCGACAGTTCTCCGTCGTCCATGCGTACCCGGGCCCGCATTCCATCGTGGAATGACGGATGACTTTGATCAGCTTCGCGGGATTCCCGGCCCTGGCCAGCACCTTCCATAGCATCTCTCGGTCCACCAAATCACACGCCTTCTTCAAGTCGACGAAACACATGTAGAGCGGTATTTTCTTTCTCCGCCCCAGCTCCTGGAGGCGGCGCACGACGAACAGCATGTGGACGGTGGATCGCCCGGGTCGAAATCCGCATAGTTCCTCCGGGAGGATGTTGTTGGCTTCGCAGGAGGCGCTTGGAGGGTTGGTGATGATCTTGATGGGGACCTTGCCTACGTGAGATAGTAGCAAAATCCCCCTGTAGTTGTTACAGCTGGACCGGTCACCCTTCCTGTACAGCACCTTGATGGCTGCATCCTTCCAGTCTCGCGGGATATCTCCTCCGTTCCGCACTTTGACGAGGATGGTATGGAGGTGTCCCACGACGAAGGGTTCGTCGTCATCGATCTTGAGCAACTCGGCAGGGAGGGAGTCATGGCCGGGTGCCTTCCAGTTCTTGAGGCCTTTCGTTGCCCGTGCCACCTCCTCGAGGTCTTCCGCCTCTCCCAACCGTTGGGTGTCACGTGTCGCTGGCCACTGCGTCACTCGTTCAATTATGTGTGGGTTCAGGGTGGGGGATTTGGTGTTGAGTAGGGTGCTGAAGAATCTTGCCCACCGCTGGAGGATGTCGTCCCTGTTCCGGAGCAACACGCCGATCTCATCCGCGACGAATTGCTGTCCCCCGCTTGTCTCCCGCTGAGGCCCACTGATCTCTTGAGGTGTTGGTACAGTCCTCGCATGTCGCGATCTTTGTAGATTGCTTCGAGTTTAGTCACATATCCGTCCAGGTGGACATAAATGCCCGTTTCGACTGCTGTAGCCACTTCCTTACACGCTGCTTTGAGAACCCTCCATGTTGCTGAGTTCCAGTTGGNGTTGGTACAGTCCTCGCATGTCGCGATCTTTGTAGATTGCTTCGAGTTTAGTCACATATCCGTCCAGGTGGACATAAATGCCCGTTTCGACTGCTGTAGCCACTTCCTTACACGCTGCTTTGAGAACCCTCCATGTTGCTGAGTTCCAGTTGGCCCTCATCGCCCGGCGCGCTTCCCGCCGTTTGGTAAGGGCCTGCTCCAGCGCTGCTCTCGTCTCTGGGGTCTCACACCACTCCTGCGTGCGGCGTCTCCGTGGTTCCTCCCGTAGGGTCGTCCGCTCTGCTTCGAGGAGAGCATTCGAAAAGTCGGTCGCCAATTCCGCGGCGGTGGTTGTTCGCTCGTCCAGTCGTGTGTCGAGGTTGAGGAGGAACCGATTAGTCACCGCACACCGTGCTGCTTCGAACTGCAATTCCCGTCGGTTATATTGCTTCTGTTTCGGTATAGTCCGGACTGCACGGTTGTGGGCAAGGCTGCCACCGAGGTTAACGGTGGCTACTACCATATTGTGGTCTGAGTCTGCTNTTTCGGTTTAGTCCGGACTGCACGGTTGTGGGCAAGCCTGCCACCGAGGTTGACGGTGGCTACTACCATATTGTGGTCTGAGTCTGCTTTGACTGGGTGAACCGGCTGGGGGGTGGCAACCACGTTAGATACTCGGCCGTGATGTGCCTGCCTTGTCAGGATGTAGTCAAGGCGCTTGCAATCGGTTCCCGACACACCGTTGTATGT